TTAAGTTTTTAATACCCACAATTCGATATTTAATAAAATGAAGTTGGTCAATCAGTTTCACTAAAAGCAATGACTGTAAACGAAAACGTTTTGTAGAAGTTAATCCTTCGGAAAAACACTTAATGGAACTGAAAGTCCTAAAATCGAACGCGAACTTCGACAACCATTCGACCATCGTTTGAAGTATCGTAGATTTTCACCGGACAAACTTGCGATGAAAATTTTCGGCTGAACTTCACAGGTCACCAGGTTGTTTCTAAATCTACCCTCTCGTCCCGAAGATGAAAACTTTTCAACTCGGGAATGGGCAGCGCCCTCGCATAAAAGCGAGACTGAAGGAGATCGGTCAACTTGCCTTACTCGATAAAAGTGATCCGCAGTGATGAAGTCTGGCCGGTGATGATTTTCAGCGAGCCGTGAAATCCTCTTCAAGAGGCGTGCGGCACGAGCCGTCGGTTCGACGGGCCATATTTCACACGGCCATTATTCCGGCGTGGGGGTAATAATACCGCACAATTACCGTGGATCTCAAGTTCTCGAAAGAACGGAAATAAAATCAGCATAAAGCGAGCCACCAAATGGCGCCGGTAGACCTTTAATGAAAGTACCAGCGGCGGATAAGAAGAAGGAACAGCGGCTAGAAAACGGTGCAGAGGAAGAAGGAACTAGGCGGTGGGGGCGGCCCTTAAATTAATTCGCGATGAATTACGTCCGCGCCAGCTGTTCGGGCAGTTGTGTTTATTTATGAACGAACTAAGATCTTCGCGTAGTCCTTATGGCCGGATTCGCCCATATAGAATACCTCCCGCGATCGCCGAATTCTTCCTACGCTTTTAATCGACCGCGCCGACCTTGATGGATGGGTTAATAAACCTATACAGCTGGCAGAAGTTGCGGGACGATATACCATAAAGAAAATTTAAAATAGAGGCTCTAAAAAAGACTGATCTTTACACTTCGTGGCAATATTAGAGAACCCTCCTGCAGGTTTCGTGCTTCTCAAAGCCAAGAATATTTAGAAGGATACATATAAGTATGTAAAGAACACATTAAAGAGTTGGCAAAGAAAACGGTGATAGCAATGAAATTAACATGGAACACTGGCCGAAGGAAATTTAGAAACAATTTCAAGAGAGGACTAATGATTTTCAATAGCCTAATTATGTGGTTATTTGATCTAATGCTTAGCAAGTTTGTGACGTAGACCATGAATAGTATGACCTCAGGAGTTCTATTCTTGATCTTACAGGCGGTTCCATGAAGTAAATCGTTCTACTGATAGAAACATCCCGATGGAGAGCGTTTATTGTTAGTACATCCTTGAGACGAAAAAAGGGTCCATTGATAGCACCGGTGGCTGGTTTGGTCGTCATTCTGGGCTCGGAGGAGCCGAGTAAGTTGAAGGACTTTCATTTATTTAGTGCTAAATACACAAGACCTGATGCGACGCGACGACGCGATGTAAGCGTTTGTCGATATCGTAATCGAACGTTAAACTTGTCGCGGTTTAATCCCCGATCGCACGATTCTCGACTAACCGTGCAAAGTTCTCGTCTTCTCTCTATCTCGCCCATTTTCACGTGCCCTCTCCTTCCCGTTGGCACAGAGGGATTAAACACGAACTTTACGCGCCGATAAATAAATGATTGAACGAGAACGCAAGTGGTAACGCTATCAACAGTCGAGGATACAAAAATATCGCGACTACTTTTCTTTTTCACGCTCGTTCTCCGTAGTCTATTCAATTACTGTTAGCCTAGGAAACAACAACATGACTCGCCTAACATCCCAGCATGCGTTTGGAGCACTAGTCCTTGATTACAGATTGTATGATCACGGTGATCAAACATTGTAGTTTCTATTTTGGAAATTAACGGAATCATTGATTATTCAATAATAAATGTTAGATAACTATAGGAGGACAGTACCATGATGAAAGAATACAAGGTGTGCTCTCACGGTGAACCAATTTTCGTCCGGTTGTGCGCTTTCCAAAACGCAGTTATATGGGAGCTCTAGTTTAAATTTTGTTTTAATTACGTTCTGCCATGCTCTTGCGCCAATTTGCATATAAATAATTTTTAAAAATGCCGATAACCTTATCATCTAATTGGAATGGAAACATGAAAGGAAACAACATTAAATACTTTGCATTTTCAAAGAATTAATACCGGCAAAATCAATGGATCGAGATATATGGATCTGAAACCGTTGATCTCAAGAATGAATTTGTAATTTTTTTTATTATATTTTAATCAATAACTTTCTTTCAAGTCCATGAATGATGATTATGTTTTTAGAAATTTGTTCATAAACTACATAACCTTTTTTCAAGAGTTTATCACCGTTCTTTCTGAGTTATTTTCAAGATCAAAGTGAAGTTTTCTTTGGGTTATTGCTGATTACCATAAGAGTACATGCAAATTTTAAGTCACTATAATTTCTCAAAAAACCCATGAATTGATTTAAAATTTTGCAGGTAGCTTTTTAATAGTAATAGGAATCTATAATAACAAATTCAACATGTTAGCATCGTTTAAGTATATAGCCTATACATCCTTAATTGCTGCTCAAGATAGACTAGTTGAACAAAAAGCCGAAGAGAAAGTCAGTTATATCTTATGTCCATTTCACTTTTAAATTTATACAATTTTGCGTATTAATGTTATTAGTTTTGGAAGTGTTTGTGATTGGCTGTGCGCAAGGACGCGCTTTGTATTCTTTCACCATGGGCAATACAATATATGTTTTATTATTAAAAATGAAATCAGATCGCACGTCTCTGCTCAAGAATATTTAACAATCTAAAGAAGACGCGAGCGAATGTTTGCGCCCTCTGAGAATCGCTTGGTCCGATCGAAGGAATTCACTAAAACACACGTGGACTTATTATAGTTAGCCCACGCATGTTCAACGCTCGACACACAAAAAGCTGCCGACAGCCATTCAAAGACGCAATGCACTATTTAATTCAACAGTTGCCGTTTTACGGTGTCTACTTATACAGATATCTTAATTACCCTGACGTGTCAGTTATGCACACACATGTACGCATGCAAGCTTCCCAGAATGTGTGTATGATACATATGTGGCATGTGGTTACGTGTATACAAGCATATGTACATGTACATCACGCGAATTTATTGCCGCTGAAACTGATAAATACGCGCCTGGCTGATCCGCGAATCTGTGTTTCTATGTAGTTTTATATTTGTGTTGCCAGGATCGTATTTTTTTTTTACGTTTGAACCATTTTCCTCGTCGAACTGTTGATTCCATATTCTGAATTCGGAGTTCAAAAAGTGCTCGAAATTACAAGGATTAATTTTTTTATATTTGTTCATACTAGTGATATACATCAGGGGTGGCCAACTTTAATGTATATATGTGTGATTGACCATTTTTCTTAAAAATATATAGCAATCTATTAGGTTGGCAACTAAGTTCCCGCCGTTTTTATTAATTTTAACATTCTGCAATGTTTTTGGCATAGTGTTTCAAATCGTTCGAAAGAGGATGTTTTGTTCTACCGGAATCTGTTTTTTGTTCGAGTTAATTTATGTTAATTTTTAGATCATTGAAATGGAATGTCAAGTTGAGAAAAATGAGCATTTTCGACACCTCATTCTTTTTGTTTTTAATCAAGGTTCTAAGACCACAAAAGACCAAAGAACCGCTCGTAATTAGTATGCAAAGTTCAAAAAGAGATGCGGAGTATAGTTCAATACTGATGCAGAATTGAGAGCTTGGTTGAACGAATTTTTCGAGTCAAAACCGGGTGATTTCTATCAACGAGGTATTGAAAATCTTGTTGAACATCAAGAAGAAGTTGTAAACAACAAGGGAAAATACATTATTGATTAATTATTTGTTCATTTTTATGGAAAAATAAACTTTTAACTTTGAAAAAACGGCGAGAACTTAGTTGCCAATAATTCAAGCATTCAACACATTCAGACATGGTCTTGTGTAGTAATAAATATCAATGGGGGATATAATAGATACAAAATTGCCTTGCAACCAACATATTGACCATTCTTGATGTAAAACACTACTGTAATCAGATATTAAAAAATTAGTCTGTCATTTCCGAGACTTTTTTGGCTCTCCACCTATGTCCAACGTTGAATGGTTTCATTCTTCGCTTATACTTTTATTGGTTGTGTGATTTTATAGAATGACAAGGATTGATTGAGAGCTGGTATGCTAAAAGAACCGTAATTATTAGAAAATGAATGATAACTTGTAGGTACAAACGAGATATAAAGTATCACATTTATAGTTGTTGGGGACACTATAAAAATCTTGAGATCTTCTGAGATTAGATTGTAACATCGTGTATGCATATTGTATCATTTGGAGCAGACATAGCCTGTTTCTTAATTCAATCCTTTAATCATTCACGCTCGAATTCGTTTTACTTCCACGATTAAACGTATGTTTTGAGATAAGCCGCTCCAGGAAACTGATACTTCTTCGTCACGAAATGAAGCGCTTCAACGCGTCTGACATTTTTTCTTATATACGATTTCAATATATTGTATATAACAGATTTTCCAAACCTTTGTGCGTCCGTTTCGTTCACTGACATCTTTGACGGGCGATGAACAGCATCGGAATCACTGCCAGGAGATTGGAAGCCATAAGACGATCCGCGTTGGAACTCGCGTTGATCGTCGGTCGTTTCTTACCGACCCTTGTGGTCGGAACTGGAGTCGCGACCGATGGATATCCCACGTGTCCGTTGATCGCGTTGTCCACGGACAGAGCCTTGTTATCCATTTTCTCTATCTCTGCCGAGCCATAAACGGGTTCGTCTTCCTCGTCGTAGAAGAATGGTCGGGCAGCCGTTTGCGTTTTCGCCGGACCCGGGATGTCTGCAATAAACGGTAGGAAAGATCCCCTTGTAAGCGTTTCATGAATTTATGAGACGTACGGATAAATATTGTTGTCTGTTAATTTTTATTAACTACTGAGGTGAATGTTTCAATTGAACCATTTTCCTCGTCGAACTGTTGATTCCATATTCTGAATTCGGAGTTCAAAAAGTGCTCGAAATTACAAGGATTAATTTTTTTATATTTGTTCATACTAGTGATATACATCAGGGGTGGCCAACTTTAATGTATATATGTGTGATTGACCATTTTTCTTAAAAATATATAGCAATCTATTAGGTTGGCAACTAAGTTCCCGCCGTTTTTATTAATTTTAACATTCTGCAATGTTTTTGGCATAGTGTTTCAAATCGTTCGAAAGAGGATGTTTTGTTCTACCGGAATCTGTTTTTTGTTCGAGTTAATTTATGTTAATTTTTAGATCATTGAAATGGAATGTCAAGTTGAGAAAAATGAGCATTTTCGACACCTCATTCTTTTTGTTTTTAATCAAGGTTCTAAGACCACAAAAGACCAAAGAACCGCTCGTAATTAGTATGCAAAGTTCAAAAAGAGATGCGGAGTATAGTTCAATACTGATGCAGAATTGAGAGCTTGGTTGAACGAATTTTTCGAGTCAAAACCGGGTGATTTCTATCAACGAGGTATTGAAAATCTTGTTGAACATCAAGAAGAAGTTGTAAACAACAAGGGAAAATACATTATTGATTAATTATTTGTTCATTTTTATGGAAAAATAAACTTTTAACTTTGAAAAAACGGCGAGAACTTAGTTGCCAATAATTCAAGCATTCAACACATTCAGACATGATCTTGTGTAGTAATAAATATCAATGCGGGATATAATAGATACAAAATTGCCTTGCAACCAACATATTGACCATTCTTGATGTAAAACACTACTGTAATCAGATATTAAAAAATTAGTCTGTCATTTCCGAGACTTTTTTGGCTCTCCACCTATGTCCAACGTTGAATGGTTTCATTCTTCGCTTATACTTTTATTGGTTGTGTGATTTTATAGAATGACAAGGATTGATTGAGAGCTGGTATGCTAAAAGAACCGTAATTATTAGAAAATGAATGATAACTTGTAGGTACAAACGAGATATAAAGTATCACATTTATAGTTGTTGGGGACACTATAAAAATCTTGAGATCTTCTGAGATTAGATTGTAACATCGTGTATGCATATTGTATCATTTGGAGCAGACATAGCCTGTTTCTTAATTCAATCCTTTAATCATTCACGCTCGAATTCGTTTTACTTCCACGATTAAACGTATGTTTTGAGATAAGCCGCTCCAGGAAACTGATACTTCTTCGTCACGAAATGAAGCGCTTCAACGCGTCTGACATTTTTTCTTATATACGATTTCAATATATTGTATATAACAGATTTTCCAAACCTTTGTGCGTCCGTTTCGTTCACTGACATCTTTGACGGGCGATGAACAGCATCGGAATCACTGCCAGGAGATTGGAAGCCATAAGACGATCCGCGTTGGAACTCGCGTTGATCGTCGGTCGTTTCTTACCGACCCTTGTGGTCGGAACTGGAGTCGCGACCGATGGATATCCCACGTGTCCGTTGATCGCGTTGTCCACGGACAGAGCCTTGTTATCCATTTTCTCTATCTCTGCCGAGCCATAAACGGGTTCGTCTTCCTCGTCGTAGAAGAATGGTCGGGCAGCCGTTTGCGTTTTCGCCGGACCCGGGATGTCTGCAATAAACGGTAGGAAAGATCCCCTTGTAAGCGTTTCATGAATTTATGAGACGTACGGATAAATATTGTTGTCTGTTAATTTTTATTAACTACTGAGGTGAATGTTTCAATTCCTACTCACTTCTCAATTTCTACTCAATACCGCATTTTTCTATCATTCTAGCTTAATAAACATATAAAATAAATAAAATTAAAAGCATTTTTAGTATCTTTTAACATTGTTATGCATGATTCCATGACAAAATATATGCTCGATTGGCTTGTAAGAAATGAAACTGTCATATATTTAATACTTTTATACCTATACATCCTTAATACAAGACCGTAAATTACAACGAGTACGCTCTCATATCCTGTTACCAATATTTTGACTCGAAAAAATTGTAGCTTTTAATCTACTAATTAAATGTATTCTTGTATCTTAAAGTCGTAGAGGAAATAAAATCGAATCTATTAGCAATAAACATCAACTTTAAGAGTAGAATCTGAAAGAAAATTACAGAATTAACACTGTACATAAACATGGTTATAAATGAAGTTAATAAAATCGGAATAATTCTTGGTGTAAACTACTTTCCATTATGCATTTTGATTCATACTTTATATTTTATATTCACTTGATAGCGAAATCTTGTTCAGTTTATGAGTAGAAATTGAGACATTTACGTTATGTAGGTATTGAAGAAATCAATCATATTTTGTTATGACCATACTCCGGACTTTATGCGTCTATAGAAACACTAGTTTCGCAGAAAATATAAACAATGCATATAGCATGAAAAATATAATACGTATCATTTTTGAAGGGTAAAAGAATCTAAATTCCATTTCTTTAAAATTGACAACACGAATGTTTTATTTTTCATAAAAATCCGTAGTCTAGTTATGACAGGCGTCTATTAAAGGGATTTAGAATCTGAACCGCTATTTCGATATCGAGTATAGAAGATAAGCACAAAGTATTTCTACCCTCGAGTAATTACAGAACAAGAGTTCAAATGAGATAAAGCAGGAGGAGAAAAGAGAACACCGCGACTAGGTAAAACTGTTGAAAAACTTCGGCTAATTAAAGTTCTACTCATTCCGAACGAGTTTACCTTCTAATTTTCTTGTCCGTCCTCCTATTCTTTTTTCATGACGTTTCCCGTAACATTAAAGAATAAATACTCTAACGATATACTAACACTGTGCATAGCGTACGCGGTAAAAAAATATCTGCTAAATAACCGTGTTAGTAAAAACAGTAAATCCCGAGAACTATGATACGTTCAGTAGCTCTTGCATCGTTACCAACGCAGCTGAATAAATCAACTGATCAGCGGAAACGTTGACATCTACCAAATCGAAGAAGTGTTAGGTACCTAAGAATCCCGCAATAATTCACGGAAGTCTGTAGCCAATCCTCTTCTTTCCGACTGCATCAGTGCAGCGGTGGATCATCGGCGACAAACGAGGATCTACAGGAAGGCTGTACAAGAAGTAAATCCCGGTGTCACGGGGAGAACATTGATTCCTAAGGCGGCGAAGAATCTCGAGCTACGATTTACGGGTAAGGACATGAACGGAAGCGGCACACCCTTCAACCGGAGTGCATCGACTCAGTGTTTCCCCTGAGTGCTCTGACCCGATTGGAAGATTCCCTGGGATCGTATGCGCAAAGATGAGGATTGACCGGAGGAAGGCGGAGGCCGCCGGTTCCACGTGACAGGGAAAATCCTCCGGAGGATTCCACGGCAAAGTGAGGATGCTTGTAAAGATGCGAGCAACGTTCGCAACAAGCAAGCAAGCGAGGGACCTTCCCACTTATTTCCATCATACCCTGATCTGCCTTTTATAACCGAGATACGCTTGGCGATGAACAATTTTCGTGCGGAAGCTTCTGGCAAAGACGCGTTAACCTACCGCCCATGTGGCAACGGATCAACGAACGAACACGAAATAACACGAAGGATGAATTTTCTTATGCGATAAGCGCAGCAACTATCGAGGGATTCTCCGCAGCCATTTGAATGTTTTTATACGTACATTATACTTGAACACTGAAACTTCTCCCAACCAAATTAATGATAAAATGAGTATGTGTAGGTAAATGAGGTTTTTACCTTAAAAATCTAACAGATGCTTTATGCAGCGTTGGCGGGATTAATTACCTTTTACTACTTCAAACGAAATATTGTACTGTTCATGATTAAATTAATGCATCGTGGAAGTATCACAATTACTAAACCGATCGGAGTTCCATTTGACTTATTTAAAAATTTAAATATGGATTTTGAATTATCTGTTAATATATTACTTTAAATAATCTGCAGAGGAAGCTAATTATTAAATAGAATACAGTAAAGATTCATCGGACTCGTTGACTGTACGTATCAATTTTAAGTCCCGCTTTTCTAATTAGCAATTGATCTCGTACTCCCATAATTCCGACGCTCTGTATCATCCGTTCTCGCAAGTACATACACGTGACTTTCTACTGGAGGTAGGATTACCTTCAAACGGAATAGAAAACCATGCGATTTCGTTATATTTAAATTAAAGAATAGGCATCAATTTTCTTTTCTCTTTAATATTTTGAGAGCCTCCTAATTTTTATTCCCTTATTAGCAAAACTTTGAAAGCTTACTTGTACATAATATTATTAAAGTATATTGTTCTATTTTGCGTCACTATTAAACATTTACTGAA